ATCTGCCTGCCTTGGTCTCTCAAAGTAATGGGATTACAAGCATTAGCCTGAGCCACCTCACCTGGCCTAGGAGGCTTTCTTGTTACTTGGGGAACTCTGTATGACGGGGGAGAAAAGGACAGAGCTCTCTGTTGGCCTCCAACTTCTTCAGCCTGCCCCTGGGAAAATAAAAATGCACTTCTGATACAGCAGGCATTTAGTACCGCCGCTGAGACTCTGGGCGGTATCTGGGTGAAAGATGCAGTGCAATTCCATTTACCTTATTTGTATCTCCTGTATGCCTAACACTGTGGTAAACCCTAAAGATACAACATGAAAGAGGCACAACAATTCATTCTCCAACACACTTGGGTAGAGAAAATCGTGGCTTCTATAATTAGATCTGGCATTCCACCAAAGGCACTAACCTCAGGGTGTCGGGGATAAACACCACTACCAGCACCATGAAACCCCCCTTAAAGCTTCTCCCCACGGGCAACTTGGATTAGAGGAGAGTGCCTGACGGGCTGGGAGCTCTGCACACTGCCTGGGACCGAGTGGTCATGAAGACAGGGAAAGGGCCTGGCACCAGCGATCAGCCCACCCCAGTGTTTCAAACTTTTTATGATATATTGAATGAACCAGTTCCAAAACTCCCCCAGAAAGAAACTTGCTCTTTCAGTTAGCCAAGACTTTAAAAGTGCATTCTTGTTATGTGTGTGAAGGAACTGTATGGGGGATCAGTGACCATGGGAACACATGAGCTTGTGCCTGCTAACCCTGTCCCTAATGCGACCTATGTGCAAAAGGGCCTGAGTAGCAGCTTCTGGATCTTAAAAACCTCCATCACCAGACAATATTATCTGGCCAGAATAGGAAGGTGTATGATGGTCCCAGTGGGAAAGCTAGACTGTTTGGGACAGAAGGTATATAAGGAAACCAGTAAAACAGTCACTTAGTGGAGTTTAAATAGAAACAAGACCAACCCTTTCCAGAAGTTTCCCACCATACAGGCGGCCTAGACCCACCCGGAACTCCACCGGGACTGGGTAGCGCCTCCTGGCTTATACTGGATATGTGGGCACAGGGCCTACGCCCAACTGCCAAACCAGTGGATGGGCAGTTGTGTCCTTGGTACCATCAAGCCCTCTTTCTATTAGCCATGAAAACTGGGGAGTTGTTAGGTTTTCCTGTCAATTCCTCATGTGACAAGAGAAGCCTAGTTATAGGGGAGGGGACTGGAAAGATGATGAATGGTCCCTGAGAGATTAATACAATCCTATGGGCCAGCCACATGGGCAGAGGATGGCTCGTGGGGCTGTCATACTCCAATCTACAGGCTTCATCGAATTATTCAATTTCAAGCTGTCCTAAAAATCCTGACTAACAAAACTGGCCAGGCTCTAACCGCCCTGGCACAGCAGGAGACCAAAACGAGGAATGCCATCTACCAGAATAGACTGGCTTCAGATTACTTACTGGCAGCTGAAGGAGGGGTATGTGGAAAATCCAACTTAACCAACTGTGGCCTGCAAATAGATGACCAGGGTCAGGTGGCTGCAACTATTGTAAGGGCCATGACAAAACTGGCACATGTACCCGCACAGGCCTGGCATGGGTCCCACCCTGAATCAGTGCTTGGGAACTGGTTTCCTGCCATAGGAGGGCTCGAGGCCATTATCATACGTGTGTTACCGATAATAGGGCATGCATATTGCTCCCCTGCTTAATGCCTTTGCTCCTTCAAGTGATAAAAGGATTGATTACTGCTGTGGTTCAAGAAGAAACCTCAGCACAGGCCTATGACATGAACCACCACCAATCTGTCTCACCAAAAAACCCCAACAGTAAGGCTAAAGGTAAGAGTAAGAATTCTCACAAAAAAAAAAGAGAGGTGAGATTCTCAAGGTGGGGGTGACAGGGAAGAACCCCCTCCTCTCCTTCAATTTCACCTCCTCCCTCCCCGCTTCTAGATGGTAAGGAGGGTGAAGAAGGAAAAAAAAAATGAAATAAAATCCCAAAGATCTGGGAAAATGACTCCCTCTTTAGTTCCCAGTGTCTCTCTCTGTTAACCTTGAAAGAGCTGCAAATGATTGTTAGCTCTGCCGGCTGGAGCCTGGCACTGGTTCATGCCCCCACGTCTCCACGGCCAGGCTCTCTCCTGGAAACACCTCTGCCAACAAACAGCTCGTTGCTTTTGTCTTGTGTCTGTAAGCCCCCCTGCGCTGCTGACCCCTGCTCACGCTGCATATGAATTAGCAAATCAAAGAAGGCAAAATCTTGTAAGGTCGGACATCCAGCAAATGAACAATGACAGAGTTCTGCCTCAGTTTCCCCTTTAGCTTTGTAAGCCTATAAAAGGGGAGAGAAGCTGCAACTCAGGAAGCTCAGTGAATGAGGCTGTAGCCCCCCACAGCTTCCGGTTGAATAAAAAGCCACTTCCTTCCTCAGTTCTGTGTTCAGTGTTTGAAAGGTTTGTTCCCCACCACCCCCGCTACAGAGGAGAGTCCCTGATGGGCCAGGAGCTCTGCACACTGCCCAGGACCAAATGGTCATGAAGATGGGGAAAGGGCCTGCACCAGCAAGGAGCTGCCCCTTGACAGACGGGATCTGTAGCACCACCCTCAGCGTGCCTGCCTTTTACAGGTGTAAAGGGAGCAGAATCTGTAAAAGTGTAACAATCATTTTCTCTTTAGCCTCCCCCATACATGTCTTTTACCCCAATTTACCCTAGGAATCCATTATCTGTGGGAATATCAGCATTTGTTTCAATAGCAGAACAGGAGAAATAAGGAACAAGCTGTTTCTATATTCAGAAATAGATTGTGCAGAAGAAAAACAGGTTCATCTTTGTTTTTTCATTTTTAAAGGACTGACCCATGAGGCCCAGCTCTAGTGCTCTGCTGGAGGGTCAGAAACACAACCTTCTGCCTGGGACAGCTGACGGCTCCACAGAAGAGCTTTCACCTGGAGAGATTCTCATTCCCAGAGAACACTGGGTGGTGTCTGCAGACATTTTTGGCTGTCATAACTAGGAGTGAAGGGTGTGCCCCTGGCATCTGGTGGGTAAGCCCCGAGGATGCTGCTAACCATCCAGCAATGCACAGCATAGCCCCCACCATAGAGAATGTCCTGGCCCCAAACACTGTGAGTGCTGCGGGTGAGACCCTGCTGATGGCAAAGGTCCTCAGAGTGGGGTCCTGGAGCAGCACTGTGAGCGCCACCTGGAACCTCACTAGAAACGCACACCCCCCAGACCCACCTGCCAGCAATTCCAGGTGGCCACCTTTGCCTGGGCAAGCCCGCCAGGTGCTATGATGCGCCTGAAGTTTATGGAAGTAAGAGGCCATGACGTGGGGACTCCTGACACTTTCTGGCTCTGGACAGTGGTGGAAAAAGAGGAGGAAGAGAGGAAAGGATGGAGCCAAGCTGCCATCTGTGCTTCTTCCTCTTCTGTGGGCTGCAGCTGAGAGACCGAGCTTGGGATGGGCAGCAAAGGAGACACCTGAGCAGGCAGCTCTTTCCCCCTGACCTACGTGGGCTGTGGAGAGCCTCATCCACATGAGTGGCCTCCTGGCATTGACAAGTGCAGGGTTCAAGGGGCACACTCACCATCCTGTCCAGGCTGACTGGGTCTGGTAGGAGCGCACTCACCATCCTGCCCGGGCTGACCGCATGGGCTCTTTGCAGCCCTCATGCAGTGCTAGCCTGCCACTAGGGTGACCCACTCCCCCAAGCTCCCCAGAGAGCCCGTTGGGTAACCCTGGGCATTTGTACCACCTGGGAACTTGTAATGGCTTACAAAACCAACACACCAAAAATACCATAAGTCTTCCCTCTGCATTCCCATGCGGTGCCACCAAGCTGACTCACCCTGGGGCTGGGATGGCTCTCTCTCCCCTTTGCTATGGCTCAGAAAGACCAATACTACCCAAAAGAAAACCGGGAGAAGAACAGGGAACCATCAGGGCTATGAGTTAGGTACAAATGGTGATGAGGAGAGGGACAGTGGGTTGGCCTAAATCTCAGAGAAGCAGGGTTTCTGCCTGACTATGGAAAACCAATGGTATGGAAAACTATGGGGAAGAAAAAAGGAAACACTTTTTAAAAATCGTAACACTGAAAACACAAAGCATCTATGAACGACCCACAACCTCCTGCATTTGCTTTTCTATTTTACTTGATTTGTTAGAAAGGTCACTTTGCTCCAGATATGCATTTGCACAGTCAGGGATTCTGAGTATCTCCTTTCTGTTTTCAACACTGTATCTGGGGGTCAAACACTTTTTGTTGTCGCCTTATAATGAAGGGTGTGCACTGGGTGGGCTTAAGCCAAGCAAAAAAATGTCCCGCAGGTTAGAGGGTGGACAACGGGCCCAACACAGGGCAAATCCTGTGACCCAGGCTACTCAGTCACCACTGTGGAAGGGACTCGGCTCTGTCTGCTTTCTGCTGCATGTCACACCCCTCGAGGCTCCGTGGCCTGGAAAAGAATGTCCCATTAGCCTCCTGTATACCACACTCCCACGTGGGGTGGGGGCAGGAGGGCAGCTCAGTTATTAGGCCCACAAAGGTTTCACTGAAGTGGGGTGACTCCCCAAAAGCATGTCTGGATCCCACTGCTAACAAAAGGAGCTAGGGAGGCAGGGACAGACCATGGGCAGCCACTGCAGCAGGCACCAGACGGCCACACTGCAACCTCACATAGCTGGTCCAAGCCGTCTCTACCCGTGGCAGCCCGGGAAAAGGTACTAGAGAAAGTGCTCTGGCACTACCTCCACAGCAGCACAAGAAAGCAGTGGGAGCAGGGTATGCTTCTGCAAGGCCAGGAGTGAAGGCTGGGATGGGCTGACAGTGAGACCGGGATCCTGAAAACAGTGGAGATGTGTGGAGGGGGGCCGAGGGAGTCGGGCTCAGGCTGTCAGAGGGGTGGACTAGTTAGGTCATAGTAAAATGAAAGGGGATGAGCGGGGCTGTGCAGGCCCAAGAGAACCCATCCATCAGGCAAGGACAGAGGCTACTTCAGGGCCCTGCGAGAGCACACATCCTGCCTCCTTTGTTCTTGTCTCAGCTAGAAACATCCAGAAGGTCATCCAGATGCCACAAAAGACCCTTCAGAATGCCATACCCAAATGAGGCTGTTCTGTGAACTGGATCAGCTAGAGACCAGCTTCCACTTCCTCAAACACGATGATCTGTCAAGGTGAGGCAGCTGTGAGGTTCAAGTTCTGCCTCTGGGTGGACTGGGGCACAGGTGACATGGGCAGAGTTCACCTCATTTGTTCCAGAATGAAGCCATAGTGCTGTCTGGGTATAGGGTTTTCTGGGGACCTAATGACCAGTAGCAGCCTAGGTTTTGTCCATTGATGAACACAACTCTTTTCATCTAGCCCTGAAAAAGACTGGAATGGCAGATTCAAGATCTGAGTTCTAGATGTAAAGACACAAGGGTGAAACACACACACACACACAACACATAGACACCATACACCACCAACACACCAAATCAGATCATGCAAGGAGGGAGGCTGCTTTGGGTTCCTGCGAGAATGCACATCCTCCCTCCTTTGTTTCTGTCTCAGCCAGAGCTACCTACACAGGATGGATGACCAACTGGGTCCCTGGATGGGAGGTGCCCCAGGGAGCTCTGTACTGTCACTGGCTTGGGCTTGGCTGGGTACCCGGGCCTCACGGGAGAGGGCTCTGATTTCTAACAAGTCTCCCTGTGTTGGCCCCAAGCCAACAGAGACTGTGGATTCCTTTTTACCATCAGGTGTTCATCAAAACACACGGGTGGGTAAGATGCCTCTAAGCTCACGCTGTAGAACTTTGGGCGTGGAGCAAATGTATACTAGCATCTTACCCACCACATCCCTGCCACGGGCTGGATGACATCTGGGGACTAGTGGATGACTGTCCCCAATTTCCTCATGCAGTGGCTTCTCTAGCCACCCCCACTGGAACACACTACTCACATATCTGTGCCACGTGGGGTAGCTGAGGCCCCAGTATTCCCTCACATGTGGGTGTCTCAGAGCTGAGGGCCCTGGCCTCTTCCACATCACACGCCTGTGCTCACCGCCCTCAGCTTGGGGTGACAGCAGCAGCGACTGGAGCCCACCTTTCCTTTCCGCGCCGATTCCCACCTAGGGGTGAGGAGGCCTTGGTTCTCCACCAGGATCCTTAAAGTGCCGCTGTCCTGGTGGCCCTGCCCGGGACAGAACAGCCAGGGTGGGCACCATGAGGCACTCTTCTGTACTCCTTGGCCTCCCCGACACAATGAGGGCACAGCTGCAGGACTGGCAGGCAGCAGGCCTCAGGGCCCTACAGACCCCCAGCACCGAGCCAAGCAAACCCCTGGCTCCTACTTCCCCTGCCCGTCCACCCACCCTGCCGGGCCAGGCCTTGCAGAAAAAGAAAGAATCCCTGGAACATTTTATCAGAGACTGCTCTGGGACAGGAGGGCAATTCAGAGTTTTTTGAGCAGCAGATACACAGGATATAAAAGCTCTGCTTACCCCTGGCACACACGCCTGTGCCTCAGAAACCCACAGAACTCTCCCTCCTCCGAGTTGGGCTCCTCTGTGAGGAGCAAGCTAAAGGGCGGGGAGGAGCAAATGGGCTACCCAGGGCCAGGCCACGCCCTCAACCCGCACAGGGCCTGGCAGGGCTACCCAGGGCCGGGCC